GGGGGGGGGGGTCTGTCTCAGGGTTAAGGATCCTCAGTGGTAGCTTTGAGAGATGTCTGTTTGCTTTTTTATCTGGTTCAGGAATTGAATTTCACTACTATGTGATGGAACTGAGCCTGCTGCACATACTTCATGCCTCTTCTGTGGTTGGCCCAGGCATCAAGCCGGGGATGTGTCTGCAGGCAGGTGGGCAGGGCAGCCATTAGGCTGGAGCAGTGAGGCGCTGGGAAAGGCCGAGGCAGGCCCTGCCAGAGATAGAAGCTGGCTCTGCAGCTCGTCAAAAATCCAGAAAGCACTTCAGTCCTATTTTCCTAAAATGAGGCCAGAAAACACTGAGTGAACATGTATCATCCTCAGCTCAAATTAGTCAAGTTGCTTATTTCTAGTTTCACAAATGTGAGTGTTCTTTGGAAACCCACATTTGGGTAGTGAAAATCACACTTTCTGGGCTAGATTCCCTGCGTAACTAGAAATGACAGTGCACGGAAAGATGACTTTATTATTATATTTTTATCAGTAGACAAACTTCCCTAAAAATTTACATACTCATATCTGTAGATAAACCCACATCATAAAAAGACTAATATGATAATGTTCTGAATCATGCAGTCTTTGCAAATAACCAGCTGACTGAAAAATGTCCAAATCTAATTTTTTGTAGTAAGAAATAAGTTGGATAACTGTATAAGTGACTGGTTATACTTTCTCATGGTATTTCTAGTAACATGATCTATTTTCACTGCTCTTTTTGAAATTATCCACAGTGAACAAGTTCTACATATAGGTTCTGCTCCTCCACCCCCACCCCCAATGCAGTAGTGGGAGGAACAAACCTCTAATGTGTGTCTTTGCTTGTGACCATATACATGGACAGGTTTTCAGAGCAAGTGGAAATCTTACAAAATAGGCATTTGTCCCACTACATTTTCCTAGCTCAGGAATGAATGTTCTCCTCCTTGAACTTGTTAAGGATTAGAGGGCCCTTGGAGAATCTAAGACAGCTCTTTTTATTTTACTTTTTCCTTCACCATTTATCCCCTCTATACCCTTTTACGCCTCCATAGGACAGCTCCTTTAAGATCCAGATGAGGCAGGGGCTCAAAAGGCTGCCTAATGCACCACTTGTTGGATCTGCCTTGGGGGTCTTGATATGAAGGGTGTGAATTGACTTCCTTGGTCAATACCATGCATATTGACCAGTTGTAGAGCTTTCTGAAGCAGTTTTCTTCTTTTGGTCTGCACTCCAAACTTTCATTAACACAGTAAAAAAAAATTTTTTTTAAATATATCTTTATTGATTTCAGAGAGAGAGAAACATCAATGATGAGAGAGTCATTGATCTGCCTCCTGCACGCCCCCGACTGGGGATTAAGCCTGCAACCCGGGCATGTGCCCTGACCAGGAATTGAACCCCGATCGCCTGGATCCTAGGTTGACTCTCAAACACTGAACCAAGCTGGGCCGGGCAAACACAGTAAAATTTTTAAGAGGGTGAAAAAGGGCAAACTAAGCTTTAAGATTGTCTTCAAGGTCAGCTAAGGATAGTTCACCTAAGGAGCTCTACTCAGGTCACTGTGTGTAGGCAATAGCCATGTGTCTTTAACTGCAGGATCTTGAGCACTGCTGAAGGTGCAAAGATGTAGTAGAGATGGACTCTGCCCTCTAGAAGCTTAAAGTCTAGTTGACCAGATGGCATAATCCATTCAGCAAACATTTATTAAGCATGTGGGAGAGGAAGGCACTGTGGCAACACAGCAATGATGAAGCTGCAGTCCCAACTTTCTAAGGAGTTTGCAATGAATAGTTAAGTAGCAATGCCAACAATTCAGGCAGCACAGCGAACTTCCCAATGAATAGTAAAAACAAATACTCAGAAAATGGATTCTCCATGGGCTGGAATGGCCTGTGGAGGCTTTAAGGAGGTGGTGGGCTGAAGCAGAAACTCTGAATCTTGGCCGTTTCTCACATTCATAGAATCTGCCAGGTTCTAGGATAACACCCAAACCAAGATTTCAGTGAAGTGTTAATTTCTTAAAAATTTAGGAACTTTTGTGTTTCTGGTCAGTCTGTAACAAAAGGCTCTCTCTCCAGTGTGTTGCTGTGGCTTCTGCCTCATCCAGCCTTTCTCCCTCTTCCACTCTGTCACATTGCTCCATTCTGCCACTCTCCAAGACACACATGGTTCTCTCCAGCTGTTCGGCATGCTTGTTAGTGAAGCAATAACTAATGATGCGCTTTTTCATTACTTTTAAAATATATGTTTAACTTTTAAATAGTGATTGTTTACACGGTTGAAAAACCATAAAGTATAACACATTATTCAGTAAAAATTATCCCCCTTCCTCATCCAAGTCTGACTATTCCCTGACTTCCCTCTGCCCAGCTACTGTTACTAGTTTATGTATCATTCTAGACTTTATGTCCATACAAGAAAACACAATTTTTCCTCCATTTTTACCCAAACATAGCATGTTATATGCACAGTTTGTTTTTCTTCACTTAATGTATGAGAGGTCTTTCCCAGTAGCACATAGAGCATATTCTTACTCTTTTCATAGCTGCATAGTACTCCACTGTATGGCTGTACCATAATTTACTTAATCAGTTCCCCACTGATGGTCATTTGGGTTGTTTCTCTCTTTGCTATTTCAGATAAAGCTGTAATGAATAACCATATACATGTCATTCACATGTGTAAATACTGTCTATAGCAATGATATAGTTAGAGTGGTTTAGTGGTCCTGAGTAGGGAAAGAAGTATGGCTTAAAAGGATTCTCACCTGCATGTCATTATTTTCTGAATTGGGATATTCTCTATGGGTCACATCATTCAGAAACCTGGCGATAACCTGATAAGTATGCCTAATAATAGCAGATATTATTCCCTATCCCAATAAATGTATTATAAATAGATTTAACTGTAGAAAACCCTGGATTTTGCTTCTCCTTGGTTTTCACCAGAGTTGTCTGGTTTCAAGAGATGAATTTGGCAAGAAGTCATTCACCATCACTGGGCCTGGGCAACTTCATACCCTTTCAGAATTTGTTCTTTAGGGGTACCTTCTGGGCCACCTTGAAATTCTCAAGTGCTACTATGATCTTGTTTTTATAGACGGGCCCATCTTCGCTTGTGCCTGGAGAAGTTGAAGGGGCTAGTGCCACTCGGGCCTGAATCAAATCGACACACTACTTTGAGTTTATTAACAAAAGCCAAATTGCACATAAAGGTAAGTGCATCCTTGAGATACCTGTTTATCTTTACCTGACCTGTAAGGGTTTGTTATGAAGACAACAAATGTATTATCTGCAGGACAGCTCTGGCCTCTGAGCTCTTCCATTCTGCCTCTTCAGTGAATCACAGGCACCCCAAACTCAGCATGTCCAGACACATCTAAGTATTTCTCACCCCTAGGCACCAGAAGTTAAGTGGTCCATCCAACTCCTGTCCAGTTTTATAAGCCAGAAACTCCTTGTTAGCTCTTGCTTCTTAGCCCTATATCTAAGTCGTCTGTAGGACAAATATTTCGCAGCCTGTCTCCTTCCCCTTTCACCCCATCAGCTGCTGTAATAACCTCCTCAAGGCCTTCCTCTGAGCTGTTCTCCATGCTTCCCAAGAGCAATCCTTCCTGAGCTCAAGTTGTGTCACCCTGTTTAGAATTCTTCTGTGGTTCAGGACATAGTCTGTCACCAGGCCTGCCCCATGCTCTGCCTGACCTGGCCCTTACCTATGTGCAGCAACATCATGTGCCATTACTCTACCCTCTCTGCTCCAGCCCTTCTTTCAGTCCTTAGCACCTGTCATGTTCTCTGACCACAAGGCCTTTGTACATGCTTTCCCCTCCTTTCCTTATCTACTTTACTTCTCAGCCTTCATATCTCAGCACAGATATCACTAGCTCAGGGAAACCTTCCCTGACCTCGTTACCTTCTTCCTGTGACAGGTGGTCCTATTACTGGGTGTCTCTCTCACTCTCTCAGTACTTGTCATAGTTGGCATCAAACAGTGGTTTATGTGATTTAGTTGTCTCCATTCTTAGAATATAGACTCCACAGGGAGGGGACCAGGTCTTTGTGTTCACCTTGTGTCTCCAGCACTTCCCAGAGGGTCCGGCACAGAGGTGGCCTTAGTACATAGCTGGAATAGCAAAGGGTGAGTGAGTTCTATTCAGCCTCTTGAGACCCATAGCCCAAATCACTGTGCAGCATGTTTTTATAGTTACAATTGGACAAATGTCACTTTCATTATGGTTAGTGGCCTACATGCATGACACTTCTGGGGGAAAAAGAATTTCTGTTTAGAGCAAAACAATCGCAATTAAACAATTTTCTTAATTATCTGAAGAATATGAGAAGCTAGAGGACAGATTTGTAAAAACAAGTGGTCTATGGAAATGTGTTTTCTAAGCTCTTATGTTGGACAATTTGGAATCAGGGCTTCAAAAGGGACTATTATTTCCTGCTAACAAACAGAAGTTAATTGATATTTGGCATGACACAAAAAGCGCTTATGTAATTGTGCCATGTACTTGAATAAACACACATTTAAGTGGAAGTCTGTTTCCTAAGCTCCCATCACATGCAGTGCTCTAGTTAGGAGATCAGGGTGTCACTGCAGGCAAGGGAGACCAGGTCGGGGGTTCCTGCCTGCAGTCTTTTCAGTATCAAAATTGAGAGGTACCATGATGCTAGAGTGTCAGAGCACGCCCCTAGGATCCCTGTGACAGCACAGCTACAGCACTGTTGTTGCTGAGATGTTAGATGAATGCAGGAGTCACTAGCCAGTCAACTTCCTATCTCCGAGAAGCTAGACAAGTAACACAGCGAATGGCTTCTGAGAAAATCGGCAGATCTCACTGCTAGGGAGGAAGGTGAGGGTCATTGCCAATTTTGAAATCTGCCTGTGAGCTCCAACAACTACCCCTTTGACTTGCAGAAACTTGAAGATTGTGACAGAAAAGCCATTCACCAAATAGACCAGCTTCAGCGAGAGCAGCGACACCTGAAGAGGCAGCTGGAGAAACTGGGCATTGAGAGGATACGGATGGACAGCATCGGCTCCACGGTGTCCTCAGAGCGCTCGGACTCCGACAGGGGTGAGCCCCGCTCCTCTCCCCTCCCCCCCGCCAGAGGCAGGACAGAGAGGGAGCTCAGAGCCTGCTTGTAATTTAGGGAAGTTGAGTAGCGTGCCCTTCGGTAACTAGTCCCTCTTTCCTTTGAGCAGAGGGGCCCAGTGTAGTGTCCAAAGGGCTTGCGTGGAGTCTGATTTTGAGCCTGAGTTTTCTGAAGAGTGCCTTCACCACTCTCTCTCTCTCTCTCTCGTCCTCCCACAGAAGAAATCGATGTGGATGTTGAAAGCACAGACTATCTCGCGGGAGAGTTGGACTGGAGCAGCAGCAGCGTGAGTGATTCTGATGAGCGGGGAAGCATGCAGAGCCTTGGCAGTGACGAGGGCTACTCCAGCTCCAGCATCAAGAGAATAAAGCTCCAGGACAATTGCAAGACGTGTCTCGGTCTATAAGAGTGGTCGCTGCGGCTGCCCCTGGCTGATCTCCCTGTCGGATCTGATTAGGTAGTGTACTGGACCTGCCCACAGTCCCTTGCACGTCGACTTCAGTGTACCACCTTTACCAAATCAGCTTTGTAAACGTCTGCAAGGAGTGCTTAGGATTGTGGGTTTCTGATTTCATCCACTAGCTTCTCTTTCTCTCCACACAAATTCGTCTCTGAGAGACTGTACATTCCAATCAGTTTGAACCACCCAAGAATTCTTAGACCGAATAAGCAATTTTCATATCTCAGCAATTTCCCCCCTTTTATTTACTGTCCCCACGTAGCCTACCAGACCTTTCTTAAAGTTTTCTGGCTTACTATGTTATTTGCCTAGCAGAAATGTATGAATGTGTCTTGTGCTTAGGAAACAAGCTTCAAGTTGAGATCCTGATCTCAGAACTCCAAAGTAAGCTTTGAAAGTGGCATTTAAGAGCACTTAACCATGGACCTCACCCCGTGAGGAGTCAGGAATACCTCCAGAGAACACCTGCACACCCTGTGCTCAGTCCCAGACCTGCGTGTGGATGGGAGCAGTATTTCTCACTCTGAAATGGACACCTGGAGAGCATGGCTTTGGGGTTGCACAGCTTATAAAAGTTCCAACATTGTTTGTTCTCACAAACAAAATGGTACAATCTATTTTTGTGCAATGTTTTTGGGACTGCGCTGTGTACTGCTGCCCCGAGGCGCATTTCCTCTCAAAGTTTGTTATGCTACTTGTCTCTGGAACATTTTTTTTTCCTACCTCAGAGATAAACGAGATCTCCATTTCCCACTCAACACAGTGATTATGCCTCTTTTCCCCCCCAAATAAGTGACATTTGGTCCAATTCTAATCTATTTTCCTATTTAACTTTCAGCAATAACTGAGCTTTGGCACTAGTTGAGCTAGTGCCCACCATCAGTGAAAGGAAAAGTCCACATTTCTACTCTGTGTCGCAGGTGAACAGGAGGGCCTGGTACATGTTACCAGAATCCCTCATTGTTTTTGGACACACCCGGAAACTTCTTCCTGGAGGCTTTTGGGTTGATAGTTTAAAAGGCTGATTTTTCTTTTTGGTTATGATTTATCCCTTAAGTGGTCTCCCACTTTGTAGCATTTTTATTTAAGCTAAAAGAGAGCACATGTATATGTACATAAGACACATTAAATCTATAAATACTATTTATTCATTTTATATAAACTAATGTAATGGAAAATAAATTCTTATGACTTTGTGCTTTTATAGATGTTCTAGAAACTTTGTATGTAGGTAACTATCAAATTGGTTCATTCCCCTTAATATTTTTGCATTCATATTTTTGAGGTCTTGATGTTTTCAGCCTCTGGCGAATCTTTTCCATTGAATTTAAACCATTTGTAAAATCTGTGACGCTGAAACAGAGTGTATGTCACAAAGTGATGAGAACATTCCTAAAATCCACAGACGCACTGCAACCTAAGGGCTCAACGGCTGAACCAGTGCTGGGCGCCACCCTGCGCCCCGCTGGCCTGCGGTCTCTAGCGCCACAGCCTCACAACTCCTCCAGCACCTCCACCTTCCACGCAACCAAACCTTCAAACACACTGCACAGAAGCTCATTCTAGACATGAAGAGCAATGTAAACAAAGCAAGATTACTTTTGTGTTTTCTCTCTAATGATTCTTTAATGTATTAAAATTTTTTAATTGGAAGTAGTGGATTGCTAAATGATCCCAAAGTCATGTAGATCTCTTGTGTTTGTTTTGTTCTGGTTTTTCCTTCATTTCAGCTTTGGGTGGGGGGAGGGGCAGGTGACACGATTTTTTTTTTTATCGTTGGAATCTTTTCCAATTACCAGCTGAAGATTTGCACTGAAATACAACTTGTATGCCTTCTGCATTTTTAAAGCCTGCTTCCTGAATTTAAGCAGAGTGATAGTGTTCAAAGAGCCAGTTCAGCCTGTAACGTGTTTGAAAAAGATATGTCTGCACTTTGAGGTCCCTTTCGAATGCCATTCGCTAGACCTCACAAGCATTTTGTTTAACTGCTATGTTCAAGCGCCTCACAAGTCCACGATGCTGGATGGCATCAAAAACTCAAGACTTTGGGAAAAGTTTGTGGGCTTGCATTGGGGGAGGGAAGGGAACAAAATTTGTGTATTTGTTAATTTAGAAATAAGGCATCTGAGAGATGCCATTATTTTGTGTTTTAATTGTTGTGCCTTTGAGTTAAACTGCATTTTTGTTTTTTGGTTGAAATATGAAATGTACTGTCCCAATATAAAACAGTAATTATTTGACCTTTGCACTGTTTGTCTGGTCCTTTTCAATTTGACTGCGTAGAAATGTGGAACTTGATAGATCGCTATATTTTTAATGCACTTGTGATAAACTGACGCCAGGGTTAGACATTACTTTCAAAACTCGAGGTAGATTGCGTCAGTATGCTAGACGGGCCTCTCTCTGACCAAAACTGTAACCTTCAGGACCAGCAAACTCAGCTCGAGGCAGCTAATCCCCTTCCCTACATGGCTGATGGGCAGCACGATTCGCAGTCTGTCCTCTCATTCACAGATCCACCAGCTTGACTGTCAAGAGCTATACAGTCCTTTTGGTTGTTTTGGGTTTTTTAAACAAAATGAAAAACCTTTCTATTAGGGTTGTTGGGGGGAGGGGATGGTCAAATAGATAAACCCCAGCCTTTAAGATTTTGACAATTGTACGTAAATAGAGATGTGTATAAATATAGGCACATGCGTATTTTTATGTGAAAATTGATTTTAAAAAAAACTAAAAAAATCTAAACTATATTCTTATTGAAACCATTGAAATGCAAATGGGGAAAATAAGAGTATGTAGTCCAATTTAATTTTATGCAGTGAGAAAATATATATGTGTGCTTCTGTTAACATCCCAGAAAACATACCTGCCCATGCCTGTTGGTTTAGAATGGCGGGTAGAGCACCCAGGGCATTTTTGAGTTTCCTTTTGCTAAGCAGGGATCTTGAAGTCTTCAAGGTGCTGACAGCGACTGCTGGCACCTTTCTCTAGTTAGTGGTTCAAAGATCATCACATTTTTGAGCAGGACCTAGATCCTAATCCGTCAACCCAAGACTAAAATAATTTCACTGGCCATTCAGAATGGAGCATTAAGTACGCCCTGACCCAGCAATTGGCCACATGAGTGGTTTGGGTTTAAGGTGGGCATTTTAACTTTCTTCAAAAGAAACAAAGGGACCTTACTGGGTTCCCAATAGGCCTCTCTTCTTCATCCCTCAAGTGGCCAAGAGCAAATTCTAGGGTGTGTGTGTTGGGGGGTGTAAATTAGGTAGGATTGTGATGTTCAAAATAACTGTCTAGCAATATCTTGGGGGTTGCTAATGGGTTTTGGGGGGAGCTTTTTTCTTCTTGCCTCTCCCCATCCTTTAGAGAGAAAACTTATTTTTCAAAATATATACACACACATTATTTAGGTTTTTATACCATACTGTGTTAGCAAGAATAGCACCTCCATTGTGCTTTATAATCTATCTATTCCCCCAATCTCAGTCTTTGTTTCCCCAATTTTATTTTTATTTTTTGTCTTCCCCTTTACCTGCCCTGTGTGTTAAGCACCAGGAAGTCAAAGGCTGCAAGGCAATTTCCTGCATGCAATCTATTTTTCCTATGTCTAACCGTGGATGCAGTATGTTTAGGTAGCTGGCTACTCATGATTTAAAAAATCCTTCCTAGGAGATGACCCAAAGGCCCTTTTAGATGAGGTGGCGTTTCTCATTCTACATGATTGGATCTCTTTGTTTTTGAAAGATACCTGGGGGTTGGGGGAGGGCTGCGATACGTGATTTATCATGACTTTTTCATTAATATTACATGGGGATTTTCTTACATTCTTCTGAAAGAAGAAATAATTGCCTGGCACTGCTAGTCAGCTATTGAATGGTTGAAGAAATCGAGTATCTTTGCTTTCTCTCAAAAATCATAAAATGAGAATTAGTAAGACACCCAATTCTGACATTGACCCAGATTTTTTATTTTGATTTCTTCTCTCTAGGGGGTGAGGGGTGGGGGGCATTGCTGATTTTACCTGAGAACCAAACTTGCCTTCCCCTGTGTCCCTAGAACTGGTGCTCTGGGAATGTTGCTGTTGACCATCAGTGTTGGGGGCCACCTTCCTAATGGTAAACACAGCCTAAACAGGGAGCAGATGACAGTATGCAATTCTGTTTCCAGATGTTTCTTTATGTAAATATGACGCCAATGTAAATCCTGTGTCAAGACATAGAGAATGGTGCTTTTTACTAGTTAGCACATGCGTTTTTAGAACTACATGTTTTAGAGAATCTTTGCTGTGTATATGTAAACGTCTGTATTGTTCAACCGTTAATAAATTATTTCACTATTAAAGAAATCTTGGTCTTCCTGATGTTTTGTACCCCAGTTTAACTTCTCATGCTTTTTACTTACAAAACTGAGTTAATCAGATTTTTTTCTTTTAATTTCATGGAAAATCCCCTTGGACCCTGTGATAAGAGTTTCAGTTGTGTGGCTTCAGTTGAGCCCATTTGTTGATCAAAATTAGTAGCAGCACTGGCTGCTCCACCTACCCATGTCCCCTGCTCTTGTGCTCGCTCTTAGTGCCCTCAACTTTGTGACACCTCCAGTGCATGCTGGGGCTGCGTGACAGACAAGAATTCCTGTCTTTCCAGCAGCCCACGGTCTGACGGGAAGGATCACACCAGTATAGTTAGTTGTGGAATAAAGATGTACAGGGACGTGCTATGAGAAATCAGAGGTGGCGGCATCCAAGTCGGGCCTGGAAAAAGAGTGGGTATTTGCTAGGAAAGGAGACTTGCAGAGAAGGAAGACATCCAGTGCTAAGAGGCAGGTGTTCGGGGAGGGAACCGCTCCTGGGCTCAGCTGTGGCCTGGAGGCTGGGAGCATGGGGTAGGCCATGGGACATGTGCAGGGAGGGACAGCGCACTGTGGAAGACCTCATGTGCTGCACGACTCATTGAGAGGAGGAAAGGCACCCAGTAAAGGAGGTTGGTTCCTTTACATATTAACCCCCTCAGTTAATTTAAATTTATTAATTCATTTAACAAGTCGGGGTTGGTTCCTTTACATATTAACCCCCTCAGTTAATTTAAATTTATTAATTCATTTAACACCTGGGCTGTGCCGGTCTCGGTCATACAGCCGAAGACATGCCAAGGAACCACCACATAAAACCCTGCTGTCTGGAGCTGTCCTGAGGTGACCGACTGAGCTCCTGCCCTGGGCCCGGGAGGTGTGCTGAGCCCAGCGCACCATCCTGCCTCGACTCTTCTTGCTCCCCCAAGAGAGCACTTGGTTAGAGTCAAGAGGAAGGAAAAAGATGTCATTCTCCTTCTTGACCAGTGACTGCTTATTCTAAAAACTGCCTGAAATTTTTGGAAGGTTTTTATGGCACCCTCGAAGTTAACTATGTGGCATGGAGCCTGCGGGTCTTATGAAAAGGAATCTCCCTGGTACTTCCACTTGGGGAAAGTGGCCTAACTCTCGCTTTCTCCAAAAAGCAGAGGCCCTGTGCTGGCCTGTCTAGGATATGATCCCAGGATCCACCTCTGGACAGGCTCCAGATGGAAGCTACCAAAGAGTGAATTGTCAGCAGCGTGGAAGAAAGCTCTGTTCTCCCACGGTGTCAGGAGCCCCGCTTACTGTGGCTGAGGAGGGGAAGCTTTGAACCACAGATAATTAGGACAGCTCTTGCTTACAGACAGCCTCCCCCCAAGCTGACAAATTCTATTCCAACGTTTCCTGACTTTGTTTGTCCACAGTTGCCGGGTGAAGAGTGTCCTTCATTATGCTATATGGGGCCAGGTCACAATAATGGGCAACTCACATGTGCTGAGTGCTGGGTTCCTCCCTGACCTCTTACCAGCCCCGGGGTGGGGGAGGGGGCTGCCATCAAGGTCCCTGTTTCATAGATGGTGATGACGCAGGAAGAGAGAGGTGAGGCCTTTTGCTCTAAGTCCACAGAGACAGTGAGCTCTGACTCAAGCCCCATTCCTTTGCCTCCATTTCTGCAAGAGCTGCGTCCAACTGTAATCAATTTTCCATGGAGAGCAACTTTCTTTTTTAAGCCTTTGAATGCAGCTACTCACTTCCCATCGAGGGGCCTTCGGCTTCAGTTAATGGGGCAGAAATTGCGAACGCACCGGACACTTGTGGATTGTCACTGCTAAGTCATCGCGCTTCCCTCTATCATGTCTCCCCTCCCCGACGATGGGGAGGAATAACCCAGACTCCTGAACCTCCAGGGGGTCTGTGGCCACCACCCAGTATGCTCCTGGGGGAAGGCATCCTGTCCAGGGATTGAAGACACTCTTTCTACACCACATCTTTTGGTTGTCGACCCTGTGACATCACTGCTTATTCAACCAGCATTTACTAACAACTTCCACCTAGGCCTTGGCATCCCCGTTATCAAGTGGCACTTTGGTCTACCTCTTAGATGTCACTGTGACCTAGATGAGGAGGGACACGTCAGGCTCTCTGCCAAGAGTCTCTGGAACAGCAGCTTCTTATTCCCATTGCTTTCTTGTGCCTTCCCATCAGTTAGGAACATTGGGCTCCCCGTGACCGAGGGCCGCTCAGGCAGGGGCTCCACAGGAAGCATCGTTCCGGGCTCGGCACTAATTGGGCGGCAGATATCTGCCCACTCTGTCCCACATGGAGCGTCCTTGTGGAGACCAGTCAGGTGGCTGGGGCTGCTGACTGCTGACTAGAGGTGAGCATGTTGCCCAGAGGGAAAAAAGCTGCGTGGTGGAGAGTGTGGCTGACCTGTCAGCAGACAGGACAGGCTCTGCCAGCCTGGAGCTTCTGAGAGCCTCCCTTGATGTGCACGGAGGCAGGCTCAGGATTTAATGGGACAACTGAGGCAAGAGCCAGCATAGAAGCAAAGAGTATGGCCCCAAGGACAAGACAGAGCTGGGGAACTGGGGGCAGAAGAGGTTCACTGAGGCCCTGGAAGAAGAGGGAGGAGCCTTTTATAGGGTGCTCCTGGCCACACCGGGGGGCAAAGGTATGTAATGAGAGTCCAGGTAGAAAGCTCTGGGTCAGGACGCGTCTGCCGTTAGGGAATCCATGGGCCCGGCAGGGGAGACACCTGGGAGAGCCTGTGGGGCAGAGGAAAGGGGGAAACACCAGCCCACCAACCCTGTTGGCCACCCAGACGCCAGGCTGGGTAACACCTGGGGACCGTCCCCAGCCCTGCAGAGTGGCTAGCAGGGATGGGAGACCCAACATCCATCTGCTAGAATGGTCGTTTGGTTAAAAACAGAATGTGTGACAAACTCTTGCCTTGCCTTGCTGATACTCCCATCCCCCAGAAGGCAGGAGATGCTTTATCATAAAGCACTGGAGCTCATTCTGATCAACAAACACGAGCGAGCTGGCCAAGCGGAATGAGAGGCCCTGGGGAGAGGGTGCATGGCTGCCACGCCCTTCAGCCACCGGGGAAGGGGTCCTGGGTGCTGGTCGAGCACAGAGACTAATCAGATGGATCCAAGGACCAACGCCGACTCCACCCTTTACACTCTGGGTGACCCGGGAAGGGGCCTGGGCTCTATTTTCCTGCTCTGTAAAGTGAGAGATGGTACAGTCGTCCCTCCGTATCCGAGGGGATTGGTTCCAGGACACCCTTACCCTCAGACACCAAAATCCAAGAATGTTCCAGTCCCTTATATAAAACGGCATAGTGTTTGCATAGTCTTAGAACCTACATTTGCATGCAGGCTGCAGCAGGGTGTGCCCACACACCTCTTCATCTGCGGGGACTCAGGGTAGTGTTTAGCACATGGCAAATTCAAAGTCTGCTTTTTAGAACTTTCTGGGGTTTCTTTTTAAGAATATTTTTTATATTGGTTGGTTAAATTCACGATATAAAACCTGTGCATCCAGAGGGCTAAATGTACTTACCTCCCAGGGCTTTGGGGGGATTAGTGAGATAGGGGATTAAAGAAAGTCTAGCCCAGCGCCTGACACTCAGGAAGCATTCAACACATCTGAGCAATTAGGATGATTTTACCAACAAGGAGAAGAGTGGGAGCACTGGCAGGACTATAGCTTAGATTTCCAGAGACAAAATTCTGACATTCAGACCATTAATCAGCCTGAAGGGAAATGACACTAGACGGTAGGGGAGCGTTCACATATGTCATCCTGACTATGCCATTTAGACAATAGTGGGCAGGAAGTGGTTAAACTGAAAGGGGGAGCAGAGAAGAGGGTGACTCAGGGACAGAACATGGCCAAGAGTGGGGAAGGGGGCATTTGTCAGGTGGTGCCTCCTCTAGGTGGTGTTCAGAAAATCAACCCAAAAACCCCTCCAGCCTGGCAGGGCAGCTGGGAGAATCTCAGAGAGGAGAGCGAGACCTTGCTAAAATGCCTACATCTTGCAAGTATTTCACCCAAAGTGAGGGAGGTGCCTGAAGTCCCAGCATTTGCGTGTATCTTTCCAACAGAAAGAAAATTCAGAACAATAGTAGCTAGAGCTCTAGCCAGACAATCAACAAAGACACCACACTTCAAGTGTAAACTCTGAGTAACTACAGAGGTTGTGACCAGTCTCTGCAACTTTGCAGTTAAAAGCTTTGCTCAAAGCAGCTGCCAGTTAAGTGCAGACCAGCACCGGGCATGGAACAACTCAGGGCCCGGAAGAGGCATCAGTGGAAACGGATGATCAGGATGGGACCTGGTGAGGCTCCGCTTTCTCTTCATCACACCAAGATCCTTTAATGTTGGGCAAAACCACCTTTCAGAACTCAGCCCAGGAATCCCGTTGCTTTCCCTGATGAGTGGGTGTGTGTTTCCTCGGGGAAACAGTGAATCATTAAATGGATCCTTTTTCTCTTCTTGCTTTGGCTGCCAGGAAGCTCAGCCAAATTCACACCTCACCTTTAGTAATTATATGAGACTCTGTGATTTGTATATTTGTGTCCTAAATTCCCCCTAGCCTATTCTCTGATCTAGATTTTTATTTAAATTGTTTCCGATTTTAATGTACGTACTTTTGGAAGTCATTTCAAATCCACCTTTGTAGAGAACAAGGAAGACGTGGTTGTATGAGTGCTGCCTGTGTGTAATTAAAACTCTCTGGTCTTTTCTTTTGCAAGCAGAGGGTAGTGAGGTTGACTAAGCAAGAGTGAGTTCATTGGAGTTGAGAGTGTAGAGAGGAAAGATGAGTGTGGGTTTGTTTAAGAACTGGAAACAAATTTGCCAAAGACTGGAAGTGAGCTGCCTCAGGGCTGAAGGTAATCCCGACTGACTGTCTAGAGGAATCAGGCTCCCTGGGGGTTTCTGCAGAGGCCTGAGACAGCGGCAGAGGGGGCCTGGGTCTGAGTCACCTGTCAGAAGCGGAAGGAACAC